CGCGCGGAGCCTGACCTTGGCCCCGCCCTTCGTCCTGTCCCCGCTTCCGTCCCCTGCGTTCTCGGCCTCCTAGGAATTGCGAGAAGAGCCGCAACGCAGCTCGTCTCTGAACGGCCGCCCGCTGGCCAGCGGCCCTGGTTGCCCCGGCACGTGGGCGGCGGCGGCGGCGGAGGGGAGGCGGGCCGATCTGCTCACCCGACACCCCGGCTTCCTGACTGCTGCGGGGCTGGGCCAACCCCACCAGTCTGCCCGCTGGGCTAACCCCTCCTTGACCCGTGCCCTGACCTCCGCCGGGTCGGCAGTGGCGGCCCTCGGAGCCGCGGCCCTTGGAGCCAGAGCCCCTGGGAGCCAGAGCCCCTGGGAGCTGCCCTTCCAGCACAGGGCCTCTGCCGTGCCCCCCCACCAGTTCCCTGAAGCCCCCTCCCCCACACAGGTGGTCCAGCCACTGGATGCCAAGGGTTGTGGGTCCCCAAAGGGTCTCAGGCCTTTACTTCCACCAGGCGGCCATGAGGGGGCCAGAGAGGGGGTCCTAGCTCCCAAGGGTCAGAGCCCAGGGACTCCTGCCCCAACCCCCACAGACCTGGAGAGGTCCACGGAGTCAGAGGGGACCCAGCCCTGACATGGCTCAAGAATGGCAGCTTGACCAGGACAGGAGTCCCGGGCCACTGTCCAGTCCCGAGAGGCCAAGTGCAGCCCAAGGGTCAGCAGGTTCTGCTCCAGGCTGGCATGCCCACTAGGGTGGCCCACGCCCAGGCGGGCAGGGCGTCTGCAGCTCCCTTTTGCGGCCGTGGGCAGGTGTCCGGCTCCGGGTGGTGCTGGCAGGCTGACGTCCGCAGGGCGTCTTACTGTGGGACAAACTGGGGCCAGGACACAGCCCCAGCAGGTGGGATGAACGGGAAGGAAGGCCAGAGCAGAGCTAGGGGGCAGGGGCCCATCTCGGGGCGTCACCCCAGGGAAGACTGGGGTGACAGAGTGGGATGCGCCCATTTCCCCTGCTGCCTGGGCACACGGGGTCCTGCTGACCGGAGGGCCCAGATCAAAGCAAAGTCAGCAGGGCTGAGCTTCTGGGGTGAGGGGGGGGGGACACAGGACCGACTCTGGGCCCCGGCGCCGCCCGCTGGGCACTGCAGCCCCTTTCGCTCCTTGGTGCGCTCAGGTGGAGGCCAGCCAGGGCTGAGACCCTGGGGCGGGGAAGCTGCCCAGAGGCGGAGCTCGGGGTAGAGGAACGGACTGCAGAGGTGATGGGGTGCTGCTGGGCCCACTGCTGCAGAACCCCCAGGCTCTCTAGGGCCCACCGAGGGCCACTGTGTGCACCCCAGCATGGACACAGGGTCCCCTCCTCCAACAGCCACCCCAGAGACCCTGGCTGGGGGAGGGGAGGGGCATCGTCTGGCCACTCGGCCAGGCTGCCACCCTCACCAGTGCCTCTGCTGTCACAGCCGTGAGGATGTCACCGTCACCTGCACAGCCAGGCGACGGCTGCCCCTTGAGGTCAGGTCACTTACTGGACCCCCAGAAGCAGGCCCTCACCTGCGGACTGCCGCGGAGAGCACACCAGGCAGCAGGGGTCACCTAGCGCCCAGCCGAGGGCCAGGAGCAGAGGCTGAGGAAGGTCTGGCTGGGGCCGTTGAGGGTCCCGCTTCCAAGCAGGGGGGCCAGGGTGCCCCTGCCAGGCAGAGACCCCTGCGTCCTCTCAGAGAGGTGTCCTTTTCCAGGCCCGGCCACCTCGAGGCCACCTTGATCCAGGCCTGCTGCCGACTGGCAGAGCCAGGGCAGGACGCGAAGGGGTGACCGCGGCTCTGCTCGAGCCCGCCGAGGGCTCCAAACCCCGACTGCATGTCCACCCCAGGGAGCTTTGAGGTCTGGAGTGGGGACTGGGCGGCCCCAAGGGGTGCTGGACACGGGTGTTCGGCGGATCGGGGCGACCCCTCCGGAGGGCGGGCCTGGCCAATGCGTCCAGGCTCGCGGGTTCCAGCAGCGCGGAGGAACGGGGCGCGGCAGCGGTTACGGGGCACGCGGCTCTGGGAGAAAGCGCGGCGGCGACTGCGGTGATGCAGCCCCCGGGCCGGAACCGCACGTCGCCCCGGGCTCGCCAGCCGCGGAGGCG